ATTATTTGAATAATAAAAATATATATATTTACTCATGCAGTTGCCATTTCCAGTGCTTTTCATTCCTTTGGATAGAGACATATTTTACTTCCTTCTGCCTCAAAGACTTCTATTAATATTTTTAAAACTGTGGGTCTGCTGGTGATTGTGTTCACCTCTGTTTGGGTTCTCCCCTCTCTAAATGTCAGAAAAAAATATTTTGCTTTTGTTTTGAAAAGTACCTTTCAATGAGTATAGAATTTTTGGTTGATAGGCTTTTTTTCTTTCAATGCTTTAAAGATCGAGATGTCTTATTATCTTTTTGCTTACATTTCTTCCTGATAAAAAAAAAAAAAAACTGCTGTCTCCTTCTCTTGATTCCTCTGTATATAATGTGTCTTTTTTTCCCCCCACTTCTTTCTGCTTTTAATATTTTTTTCTCTCGATCACACTGGTTTTGAACAATTTGATTATGGTATTCTTTGGTATAGTTTTCTTCATATTTCATGGGCTTGGAGTTTGTTGAGCTTTTCAGATCTGTGGGTTTTCATCAAATTTGCAGGTTTTTTTAAAATCTGAAATCTCAGTCGCTTATGAAAAGATACTTATTTCTTATTCATGTGAGGCTCCATAAGAATCCCACTTCCCTTCTTGTAATTTACAGCTGTCTGTAACATCTAGGGTCCATGATAACTGCAACAAAAAGAGGATTGGGGCTGGTGGTAAAATAGCTTTTAACCATTGAAATCCAGAAGTGGCTCAAAAAAATTCACTTTCCTTTACTATCCAGTGGCTAATTATCACAGGGCTCCAACCTAATTGCCAAGAGAAGCTGGGAAGTATAAGGAAGCATGTGGATATTTGGAGAACTTTGTCTCTACCATAGACAAAAAGCAGGTCTGAAATAGAGAATGACAAAGGGCGTGGGCTAGGAATGGCTCTCTAAGCTAAGACCTAAAGGATATAAAAAATCCAACCCTGGTATGTTTGAAAGATAACCAATGTAGTTAATAGGGCTTTTAGGTCAGAGCCTAAAGCCCTATTCAAGTAATAAAATAAAACAAAACTATAAACATATAAAATATTCAAGTAATAAAATAAATGCATTCTCCTAGAATGTCCTCTGTGTAATAACTATAGCTATAGGAAACTTACAGCGTTATAGGGGTATAATATCCTCACCAAATCTAAATCAGTGGCAGAACTTACACACTACCCTCTTAGATGGAGAAAAATATGGAGAAAGATGAGACTTGAATAACATCAACAACAACAAAAAAGCAGTGCTGAGAAACTACAAGTTTCATTCATTCCTTTAATAACATTCACCAAGTGTCTATGAGAGACTGTATTATAATAATACAGGGTGGATCTGAAGAATAAAATGTTTGCTGCAATTCTCTCTGCTTTGGTGGAATTAACAGTCTCGAGGAGGAAATATTACTAAAACTGTAATGAAGTAATCTATGTGGAATTGTTCAAATCACCCAAAGACAGAACTGGGGTTTTTCCCAATAGAGAAAGGGGTAAAATTCTATAACAGAGGTCAACTTAAAATTTTAGAAACCATTTAGAAATAAACATAATAAATGGCTCCTCAAACATGAAGGCATCCAAGGTGATGAAAATTTCCCACTTTAGTCAAAACATTAAAAAGAGAGTAATAGGTATTCTGCATACATAATTTTTATAATCTTGCAAGTAAAAAATGTATGGACTTTTTTTTCCTACCTTAACCAACTTTTTCTATTATCCAACAAACTACATGTCCCAAATAAGTTAGAAAAAAGTCTATTTCAATCCTTTATCCAATGAGAAAAAAAAAGTGATTCATCAGTTAAATAACAGCCAATAAATCGTAAGGCCAGATTACAAATTGAGACTGTGTATATCAATAGCTGAATGCCATCTTCTGCTAGCAAGAATGTATCACTCACTAACTATATGATTACTAAAATAAGACACAAACCACTTCAGGAGGGATAGTATATTTAAGACTGTTATTTTTTAAATAAGCTTATTTTCAAACCTTACCAAAAAGAAATTATGAATAAGAGAAATATCAGTATTAAGCAGGGTAAAACTATAAAAAATATAGTTTATAAGGGTGGAAAGCAGAGTGAACAGATAGAAGATCACTAAAATAATTCTTGTGGAGATGGTGGTTACGTGCGCTAGGACCTTGTATATAATGTTTGAAACATATGTGATATAATGCTCAGAGAGGTAGTATAATGTAGGTTAATAAGGTTAAAAATTAAATTAACTAACGTAACAGGTTAATAACGGTTAAGAGGGCAGGCTCTGGAATCAGACTGACTGGATTCGAGTCCTGGCTTTACCATTTACTAGCAGGTAATATTGGACAATTCATTTAACCTCTGTGTTTCAGTCTCCTTGTCTGTAAAATGAAGATGATAATTCCTACTCATAAAGCTGTTTTGAAGATTAAATAAAATAATGCATATAAAGGAATACCTGCCCCATAATAAGCACACTTAGTTATCACTAGCTAACATAGACACGCTGGTGCGGATACTAATGTAATGGTCCAAAGTAACGCCATGAGTGACCAGTCTACAAGGATTCAGATCTCAATGCAATTACTTACCAGCTCTGTGACCTTGAGGGAAGTTACTTAACCTCTCTGTGCCTCAAATCCCTTATCAGTAAAATATGCATAATAATAGCTCCAACCTCACAAGATTATTGTGAGGATTCGATGAGTTAATAAATGTAAAGTGCCTGACATAAATGCTCAGTGCAACAAATGTTAGCCACTATTATTTTGTATATTATTGGCTTTTCAGCTAGACTGAAAATTGCCTTTTCTCAGAGAACCCAGATATTTGTTAGCACCGCGGCTCTACGCTTCCCCTCTAAAATGAACAAACACAGGGCTCAAGCAATTTTAGTACAGATAGATCATCAGTGCCATCTAGTGGCATACTGCAAATAAATTCACCAAATGAGGAATGTTGCCCACAAAGGGGTAAAATTTCTACAGATATAAATTTAATTTTTAAGACAGACTAAGTCTAATATAGTTATTTGGAAATTTAAGACATTTCATATAACTATTTGAATGTAGTACAAATGCAAATGGAGGAAATTTCAAAAACTACAAACTATAAGTAGATTGCTTGGCAAATATAGTACAAAAAAGACTGTTGTTTTCTATTTTTGCATGAGCCAAACAATTGGGTTTAAACCCACTGCCGAGATTTCTCGGACAGATCTGTGATATTAACAAACCCTTGCTATTTTATAGACCTCAATTTCTTATGATGTGAAATGAAGATGTTGTATGTGTTGAATTTCTTTTCTGGTTCTAAAAGGGATAAACCAGTATACTAATTTTAACATGATGAATCTATAGTATTATCTAACAGAAATATTTTTCTCAGAGGGAAACCTTGATAGCTTCTAAAATCCTTTCTAACTTTATGATTTTTTTTTTTAATGTAGCCATATTAGAATTAAAATTAGAAATGTGAATTTTTGGTGCAATTTAATCAGCATAAAAATTATACCATATTCTAAGATATTAAGATAAATTAAAATATTAATACCATGTAAAATCCCATGCAAAGCATCATACAGTTTTACTTTCTGCAAGTCAAAACTTACAGAAGCACTAAACTACTGTAACTTATACTAGCTCAGCAGTCCTTGTTTGCTCAGTTGAAAAATATACAAATTGCAGAGCCACAACTAGTTAACCACCACCAGTCCTCCAACAACACAGTTCAAATGTCATTTATCATGGTATATTAATTGTAATTATATAAGAGCTGCTGGCTCTTTGGTCTACAAATTACTACGTAAATTAGAGATGTTGCATCATGAGCAGTGACCAACCTGTCACTTCTTACAAAGTCTATCAATCATTGGTCAATGCACATTTGTTATTCGGTTCGCACCAGAGATAGCAAAGCTTGTTGCCTCCTTTGTCTACCAGTGATTAATTCACATGACATTTCACAAAAGTAGATAATTGACAGAGGGAATTAGCCCATAAAGATGAAAGTGCAGTAAAGAAATGAAATGTGATGAAGTTGGAAGCGACATTGGATGTGAATAGATCTGAAAATGGCAATAACCAAGCAAAGAAAGGGGAGACATAGGCCAGAATGAAGGTAAGAACTATGAATGTGAAAAACAATCTAAAGTCACTGCTAATTGAATTCAAACTGAATATAAGTGGATCGTACATAAAATAGATGACCCTGGAATCTTAACACTGCTTCCTTTGAAAGTGATAAAGCTTTGCAGGCACAGGAATTTAGAGAAGGCAAATTTATGAACATCGATGAGGAGAGTTACTGTGACAAAAAAATGATAAAGTCCCAGAGGAAGTGACGCCAGCATAAAACTTCACACTAGAGAAATTGAGAGATATTTCACAACTTTGAAATACAAAGTACAAAAAACAGAAGCTGATCCAAACTTGGAAAGGAATGAATGTAACAGTTCAAGTCGCCATGGCATAGAAAAGATGCTTGCTCCATAAGTTATATGATGAGAAGGCAAGTACTGTTCAAACTCCTCTTGACAAATTTTTTGCAAAGAAATAAAACACTTTAATTCTCAATTTTTCTGTTTTAAATAATAGTGCACTTAACAAATATTAGTCTTACTATTTTTTTTATTTCTCTCTTCATTTATAAACCACAGTAAGAGTTTTCATTGTTTTGAGAAGACATTTTAAAAGTCCTAGAACAATTGTTATTTTTGCCCTTGATTATTAAGATCGCTTTGCCCAGGCCAGTTTCAGCATACACATTTTCATGGTCTTGCATTATTATGAAAACAAGGACTGCATGTATTATGAATGCCTAAATTTTTCTTTCATAATTTCAGTCATTGTAAGCATGTCATTCAGAAATTGTCACCTATTAAATGCTAGTACAATAGCTCGTCCCCTTCTGAACATATTTTATAATTTCTTGCAGTATCATGATATAATGCTGAAAGATGCCCTTTCTCCTAACCAAACCATATAGAAGAGCATTAAATACCTGGCAGTGGCAACTGAATTAATATACCACTGACTCTTGGATCCATGTTCAATTGATCAGTTATGTCCAAAAGTTCTTCCTCAGAAACATCCTTTGATTTTAGAATGATCTCACTGCAGATACCTGGAAGAAAATAAGCACAAAAAGTCACTTGACTAACAGAGATGTGTATTTTTCATTAATGGTGTATTACATACACAGTGTGTAATTGGTTTCCTATGCTCTTATCCCACTGTAAAGAAAGTCTCTTCTACAAAATGATGTTTAAGGCACCATCAGATGCTTTCTCATGATTCACACACATTCTGTGGCCCAGTACCCTATGTGGCAAATTGCATTTATTTGTGATAAACTATTAGTGAATTTGAACACAGTAAAAACACCAAGAGCACCACCACCATTATCAAGCCATGTTTGAAAGAGTGAATTGGCCAGATTTATATCTAATTAAAGCAAATGTAATAAAAATGAGGTCTTTAAATATAAAGTTTTCTCCTCACATCTCACCATAAGATCTGAAATCACACTGAATTGATTCAATAAGGAATTTAAGGGAAAAGAGTAAGAAATGAATATAAACTTAGGTAACTAAATAATCTATAATAATAATATAATACATGTTATTCAAAGAGCATTTATTTTAGTTATTATTCATATTATTACTTTGAGGTAAAATCAAAAAAAAATTATTTAGTAACAAGCACAACTAAAATATCCCTACCTACAGCAGAGGCAGCTCTGATCTTCTTCCTGACATATGTATGGCTTGCTGGGTTATCACCCACTAAAATGATGCTGAGGTGAGGTCTTCTGTTCCCAAGGGAAATCCACGATTCTACTCCTCGCTGTATTTCTTTCTGAATTTGTTTGGCCATCTCAGTTCCTGAGATAATAATGGCATCGTGTCTATGAAAAACAAAAAAAATAAATATAGTAGTAAAAAGACAATAAGGAATATTGACCACATAAGTGTAAGATACAAAAGTGAATAAAACATCTGTGATTGTCTAAGTGAGCAACCAAAATTCAATTTTTTTTCCAAGTCTATTTGGCACCATTTTTCAGGTTCATAAATATATTTATAATTTTGTGAAAGTTTCCAACTCTGCTTTTTATCTGTATTATAATCTACTTATATTATACATTTCTTTATAACATTCATATCTATATATTTTAAATGATTGAACCACATACTCAAGATCTGGACTACAATATTCGCTCTATTAAAGGCTCTCTGTTTTTTCAGAAGAGGCAGATCAGCAGTCTAGTTAAAACTGGCACTCATCTTCAAAGCCCTGGGCCATATTGTATAGATGTGGCTCCACAGTCTTGAGACCCTAAGGCTAAGTCTGTTCATTCTTAGTTACTCTATCCCGTACAAGACCCTGAAGTAATAAGCTCTGTATCACATAACTCTTACTGAAGGAAAAATTTTATTCCACAGCTCTAGAACAACTGTGACAACAGCTGCCAGTCTTGCCATGCTTTGGATTGATTACTGTGGGGACCAAGTGAGTAAGCAGATGGTTCAGTTGCTACCCAACACCACGGCTCTAATCGAAAAACTGCACAGAACATTCCTTCCTGGAAGTTTATACTAGTACTTAAGAAGGTAAGAAGTGCTATACTTTGATAGATGACAGAAATCTGTCTCTGGAAGTGTACAAAGAAATGCACTATGGGAAGGCTTGTCTGCTCTCCATGATACCAAACTTAAGAGTGGTGAATTATGTTACGCTTACTACGTGTTTATTTCTTAAAGGTACTCGATAAAGTATAAGATGCTTCCTTCTTCCTGCTGCCCCTGTCCTTTCGATATTGAAAGGTCTAGTGAAAGCATGATCTGTAGCACATGATTATTATACAAAATGCCAAATACAGGTCAATGAATAGTGTGAAGAAAAGGAAAAGGAGAAGAAGAAGCAAAAAAAGAAAAAGAGAAAAGGAAAATCTTACAGTACCTTAATTCTTTCTAGTATCTGTATACATTTTTATTTTCTAACAAGGGTGGGTACCATGAATATCAGCCAACACATAAAATGCAAACTTGCGGCCCTAACAGATTGATGTACTTACAGGTAGAGCCACATCAAGAATATGCGATCTCATCTGGCCCCAGTGGTCCATGGTGTTCACCAGGTTCATATAATTTCGATGTATACAATGTACTGATACAAAGTGATTCTGGAATGTGGTCTATGGATATGTGCATCAAAATTTCCCAAGAAGCTTGCTAAACTTGCAGATTCCCAGACCCCAAGACCACATCCATGATTCCGAATCCCTAGAAGGTGAAGCCTGGGAATCTGCACGTCTAGCAGTTTCCCACAGGTATTCTCGTGCATGACCACGTTTGAAACTACTTCTTCAGTTCAACACACAGGTATATTTTAATAACAACCATAACCCTAGGTAAATGATTAACTGAGTAAAGAACTGATTGTGAGACAATACAACTAGATGTTAAAATTAGAAGTAAACTTTACCTTTGATCCTAATTATGTCAACTTTTCACTAAAAATTTAATAGATTTCAAGATATGAAAGGTCAAGGTAAATTCAGTGTAATACTCTTGCTCCACTCTTAATTTTGTAACAGACTTATTGAAGCATAATTGACATATAATAAACTGCACATTTAAAGTATATAATTTGATGTCTTAATATAATTATATACCTGGAAACCATCACCACAATCAAGAAAATGAACATATCCATCACCTCCAAAAGTTTCCTGGTATCCCTGTGTAATCTTACCATTCTACGTCCCTGCCATGCACCCACTCCATCCACAGGCAAACACTGATCTGCTTTCTGTCACTATATTAGCTTGTATTATCATGAATTTTATAAAAATGAAATCATGTACTATGTACTTTTATTCAGCTACTTTCACTGAACATAATTAAGATTCTTTAATGTTGTTGCATTTATAAATAGTTCATTTTTTTTTTTTTGCTGAGTAGTTTTCCATTGTTATGGATATATCAAAATCTGTTTATCCATTCAACTGTTGATGGATATTTGGGTCGTTTCCAATTTTCAGTCATGATAAATAAAGCAGCTATAAATTTTCACGTACAAGTCATTGTATGCACATATACTTTCATTTCTCCTGAGCAAATACCTAGCAGTGGAATAGCTGAATCATATGGTAGATATATGTTTAAATTATAAGAAACTATCATCCTATTTTCAAAAGTGGCTGTACCATTTTACATTTTAGAGTTCCAGTTGCTGTACATACTTGTCATCTCTTAGTATGGTCAGTCGTTTAAATTTTAGACATTCTATATGTGGTAACTCAGTGTGCTTCTAAATTTACATTGCTATAATGAATAATTATGTTGAATATATTTTCATGTCTATTTTCTTTGGTGAATCTTATTTAATATTTTCTCCATTATTTAATAATTTCCTTATTATTGAAGTTTTGAGAGTTCTTCATATATCCTAGATTTGAGTCAGATATATGATTTGAAGTATTTCTTCCTAGTCTGTTTTGCCTTTTCATTCTGTTTCTTTAGAAGATCAGTTTTGAATTTTGATGTACTTCAGTCACTCTTCCTTTTATAGATCACGCTTTTGGTGTTGGGTATAAGAAATCTTCACCTAATTTAGGGTCAGAAAGGTTTTCTTCAATGTTTCTTTCTAGAAATGTTATGAGTTCAGGTTATGTATTTAGTTCTATGATACAGTTTTATTCCTAGTTTGATAAGACTTTGTATCAGGATACTGTCAAATGCTTTTTTCTGTATTTACTGAGATGATCATATGCTTTTTTGGTTTGTTTTTTAATATGATGAATTACATTGATTGATTTTCAAATGTTAAACCAATCTTGCATTCTTGGGATAAATCTCACTTGGTCATGATGGGTTCCTATCCTTTCCAGATATTGTGGATTTTATCTAAAATTTTGTTAATGTTTTTACATCCATGCGCCTGAAAGGTATTTGTCAGTAGTCTTATTTTCTTGTAATGACTTTGTATGGTTTTTCTATCAGGGTGATGATACCCCCATGGAATAAGTTAGAAAGTATTCCATCCTCGTCAAATTTCCAGAAAAGTTTCTATAGAATTGGCATTATTTATTCCTTAAATGTTTGGTAGAATTCACCTGTGAGCCATCTAGTCTTGGAGCTTTCTTTGTGGGAAAGTTTAAAATTACAAATTTAAATTCTTTAATATAGAGGGCTATTCAGGATACTATTTTTCCTTGAGTTTTCATAGTTTGTGTCTTTGTATATGTTGGTAATTAGTACATAATACTAATAGGAAATCAAGATAAAATACACTTACTTTGAGTTTAAAGTTTATTTTTCAAGATTAAGTATCAAATGTGTTTCACTATTTATTATGACTTTCTGTTGCTCATTTTTTATTAAGTGGCCTTTTAATACTAAGAGAATAAATACCTCCTATATTATCAAATATTAAGGGTTGCAGATATAGCAACTAATTCCAGCATGACTCATATCTAAAAGGTAATAAAAACACTTTCCATAAATTAAATTGTGTCAACAATATTCATCAGGGTAAAATATTCTACTGTAGAAGCAGGTTTATCTGTTAATATGCTAGAATTCACTCTTAAAGAACATATATTTATATTTTGAAAGACAAAACCACCTGAACTCCATATTACATTTTATAGCACATGAATAGCAGTGCTGTTGCTGACATGTTTTATTAGTTGATTCTGTTAAACACAATAATTTCTTCATAGCCTATGGTAAAACTGGCAATCACTGAACAAAATCCAGAATAATTATGGACTAGACACTACAAAGCTGTGTGACCCTGAGAATGTCAGACATGACAATGGTGTAAACTGATTCTTGGCTTCCAAAAAAGACAATATACAGATTAAACTTTGATGCACCCTGTATATTGAGGGCCACAGGACTTACTTTACATTATAGCAGTGAGGTGCTAAGTTAGCTTGCTAATTATAGCTGTCTTGATATAGCCTGGCTTGGCTGATGTTTATGGGTAAACACCCATAAGACTGCCACCCAATATGTAATGGAATTTTGAGCATTTTTGGTAATAGCTGGCTCATCCCATTGATTCCTCAGTCACTGCAAAGCCTCAACAAGCCTGGCTCTGCAGGAGACACAATAAGAATAAATGCAGCAACCTGAAATGAGTGGAATCCCAATGGAAAGATGACTGTAACTGGTAAACACACACATTATCTAGCTCGCACAGTCTTTAGTGCATAAACAAATGAGATTTTTTTTCAACATGTATGTTAAATATCAGCAAGAATTCAAATGTACTGCCACAGAAGCATACAGCTCCTAAGAGTTCTCCCTGGCTCAAGTCTTGATCTCTGTCAATCCATTTTCCACACTGGAGCCAGTGATTTTCCAAATATAATCATGTCAGTTCCCTAGTAAAACCCCTTACTACATGTCCATTGTTTATTAATACATATTGTTTACCTTCTATGTGCCAGGTGCTATTCTAGGCACTGGAAACATAAATAGTGCACAAAACAAACTGACCACTTTCATAAAAACTATATTGTAGTTTTGTAGTTGAAGAAGACGTAAGCAAATTTTTAAAGCAACTATTTAACATATCGTGTGAAAAATGGAGGGAAAGACCATGTCTGGAGGCCAGAGTTGCCATTTTATAGAGGTGGGTTAAGGTGTCACTTCTCTGCTTAATCAGATGACATTTGTCTAAAAATGAAGGAAATGAGGAAATATGTCACGTGGCTATTTGGAGAAAAGAGTTTTAGGCAAAGGGAAGTACACGCTCTTTAGGAAAAGGCATGCCAGGCATGTTTGATGAAGCAGGGACAGTGGCTACAGTGGAAAGAACAAGTAACTAGGACAGGACATGAGGTCAGATAAGTAGTGGGATGTGAGATCACATAGGAAGGAACCTTCAGGG